TATGTGCTTTTTCTGTATTCATTAACATGGTGTAGCTTCTTTAATCTGCTAATGTAATTAGTTATATTGATCAATTTTTCAAAGTTAAATCAGCCTTACATTCTAGAATAAACCCAGCTTGTCCATTACATTATCTTTTGTATATCTAGATTTTGTTTGGGAATATTTTTATACAGTTTTTGCATCTATGCTCATGTGTACAAATGACCCACAATTCTTGCTTCATTGCCCTTGTCAGGTTATCAGGTTATTAAGGTTATGTCTGCCTTCATAAAATGACTTGTGTGTGTTTCTTATTTTTCTATACTCTAGATAAGTATATAAAAGAATAGAATTATATCTTTCTTGAATTTTCAAAGACCTAACTGGTAAAGCCATTGAGGGCCTGGGGTTTTCTATGGGGAAGATTTTCAACTGTTGGTTCAATTTATTTAAGGGCTATAGGACAATGCAGATTTTGTATTTCTTCTTGATTTTGTTTTGGTAAATTATATTTCTTCCTAGGAAAATTTTTTCATTTCGTTGAAAACTTCAAAGTTATTACCATAAAGTTGTTTATAATATCATTTTATTATTTAATAGTTGTGGTATTTTTAGAGATCACCACTTTTTAATTCCTAATATTGGTTATTTGTGACTTCTCTTTTTTGGGTAGGATATTCTTAGCAGAAGTTAATCAGTTTTATCAGTGTTTGAAAAGAATCAACTCTTATCGATCTTTCCCCTATTGTCTATTTATTCATTATTTTGTTAGTTTCTGATCTTACCTTTACTATTTTTTCTTTCTTTTTGTGTTCTTTTTCCAAATTCTTTAGATAGATGCATAGCTTATTAATTTTCAGCTTTGATAGCTAAAAAATCCCTCTGAGTATTATTTTAACTGTGCTTCACAAAAATTCATATTGCCATGTTTTCTATTTGTTTTTTGCCTTTCCTGCCTTTCATTGTCTTAATTGGAGTTTTATTTTAAAAAAACAACTTTATTGAGGTATAATTGAGATACAATAAACTGCACATTTTTAAAGTGATCAGTTTGATATGTTTTGATATACGTATATACCTGAGAAACCATCCTCACAGTCGAGATAGTTAACATATCCATCACCACCACAAGTCTCCTGGTGCCCCATTGTAATTCTTCCTTCCAGTCCCTCCCCGTGTTTCTCTCTCCAGACAACTGTTAATCTGTTTCTTATCCATAATTGATCGCATTTTCAAGAGCTTTATATACATGGAATCCAGTAGTAGGTACTCTTTTTTTTTGGCTATTTTCATTTGGTGTAATTATTTTGAAATTCATCCATGTAGTGTATACTAATAATACATTCCTTCTTCCATACGGGCTAGCTAATGAATATTATAGTTCTTTTTAGGCCATATAGTCTTTGTTTCGATAACTCAATTCTGCCATTATAGAGTGAAATCAGCCATAGACTATATGTAAATAAGTAAGTGTGGCTGTGTTGCAATAAAACTTTATGGACATCAAAATTTGAATTTCATATAATTTTCATTTTAATGAAATATAATTCTTTCATTTTAAAAAACCTTTTAAAAATGTAAAAGTCATTCTTTCATGTGGGCTATACAAAAACAGGTGGAAGCAGGATGGTTTGCTGATGCTGGCATTCTATTGCTGAATAGTAGTATTTCATTGCATGTGTTTACTCCAATGTGTTTATATGTTTACCTGATGATGGACATTTAGATTGTTTCCAGTTTTTAGCTATTATTAATACAACAAAGCTTCTCTGAATATATGTGTTCTCTATATGGACATATACTTTCTTTTCTCTTACGTAAATACCTAGGAGTGAAATTGCTGGATCATTTGATAGATATATATTTAACTTTTCAGGAAACATTAAGAAGTTGCCACATATTCATTATTTCTTTCTTGCCTTTCACTGTTTTTACTGAATTTTGTTTTCTGTTTTTTCCTCTTTAATTATTTGGAAGGTATACATTCTAATTTTAGTTGTTTTGTTGCTTATTCTTAAATTCAAAATAAATTTTAATTTTTCAATTTCTTTATGAATATTGAAGAATAATTAGTTCCTATTATTTTACCTTTCCTAAAAAAATAAGACTTGAGCATCTTTTACTTTTACTTTTCCTCTTCTCATCTTCATTTATTATTGAAATCACTGATTATAGTTTCTTCTTATTGTTTGTTGTTTTGAATATTATGTTTCTACTTTTTAAAGAACTCCTTTCCTTAACTGGCTCTAAGCTGCACAGCCAATTGTCAGCAATAGTTTCAATTTACTTATGTGTTTTACTTATTTCCTAATTTAACATTCTTTCGTATGTTCCTTGCCATCCTATTTTCCTGGAATTTCTTTGGAGTATGATTTTTAATTTGTTTTTCAGAATTAGATTTTTTCTGAAACTTTTTAGTCCTCAAATATTTGAAATTACAGTAGAACATTGTAAAGCATTGTTTCATATTCTTCTATATTACGTTGCTTATGAGATGTCTGATTCTAGGTGAGTTCAATTTACTTTGTAGGGAACCTGGTTTTTGTTGTTTTTTTTCTTTCTGGAAGCTTTGGGACAGTCTCTTCATCCTTGATATTTCATAATTTCCCTGTATGTGTCTGGGTGTTTTGTAGTTTTTTGTTTTTCTTGCTTGACCCCTGATGAGTGAGCTCTTTCAGTTATTTCATTCAAGTTTTTCTTCAGGTCAGGGGAATATTTTTCTGTTACCACTTTAATTTTTTTCTCACTACCATTCTCTCTGTTCTTCTCATTTGTTATTCATTTTTACTAGATGTTGGCTCTCCTAGATCTGTCCTCCAGGTTTCTCTTCTCTCATTTTACATTTTTTACTCTTTTTTATTTTATTTTCTCTGATATGCTCATTCTCTCTCTCTCTCCCTATTCCCCTTCCCTCTGCCTAATATCCTCCCTTCTCCATCTGTCCAGATTACTTAGTCAATCTGTATTCTTCACTGCCATTACATTGAAAAGGAAAACTTATTTGCAAGAATTGTTGTTCATTCATTGGTCCTTTCTTTTCATAGCAGCCTATTTTGTTATATCATGTTTTTGGAATCAATATCCTCTTATCTTTTAAAAGATACTAATTAAAATACTTTTAAAGAGAAAAATGCTTTTTATCTTCTATTCTGTGCATTATCTCTATTTCTCCCAAGGTCTGTTCTTTCTTTGTTCATTTTGTTCTTTCCGTTTATGCTGTTCACTTTCCATAAATGTCTAATGGTCCTTGACTTTCTGTTAATATTTATTAATAAATGCTTAATTAATAATCAGTGGATATTGATAGCTAGCTGGTAGAGGTTTCCTCTGCAATTAGGCAGATCTCTTTCTCCAATAGATCTCTCCCCTGAATGGTAAGACTGATTGTAGGCTCTGGGATAGTTTGTTCTGTAAGGAACATAGATAGGTATTAGGCAGGGTTAGGACTTCCAAGTATACAAAAGTTAGGAGGTGTTTATTTGAGGGATGAAGACTTTATTTCATTCCTAAGTGGAACTGCCTTTCTTTTTCATTTATTTCCTCTGTTGTGGAAGCCTGGAATTACTTTATGTTGTTTTTTATTTGTCTTTCCAGCTCCAACATACATGCTAGGAACTACGGTGATTTTTTGGTTATCATTGGAGTAGAAAAGATTCCTGCCAACATCTCTGTATACTTTAAGGGGTTGAGAGAAGTAGCCCAGATGATCTGTAGATAGTCCTTTTATTAATTACCCATTGATAATAGCCTCACAGATCACTCTTGCTCTTTTTCTTTCTTATTCTTGAGTCTGGATTTTCTCTAGATTTCTTTGGTAGAAAATGGCTCTTGCTTCTGCAGTAATCTTCTTCTGTGTGTGTATCTATTTTTTTCCCCATTAATCTTATCCCATCTTTTTTCCATTTTTCCATAAATTCATAAAAAAATTGTGTCTTTCTTGTTCCAGAGCTGTTATTTTTTTAAAAAAAATCTTTTCCATTTTAGAAAGGAGGAAAAATTTACTTGTGCTCAGTCCACCATCTTAAGCTTGAAAGCCAGTAAGTCTTTTATGACTACATAAAGGACAAGTAAATATTTTCTGATGAAATAATAGTGATAATTAAAAATAAGGAAAACTGTAACTTCTGACACTAAATATATTTTACCATTAGTTCTCTCTAAGAGTAGAAAAGCTGGTAGGTTGAAGATTTCTTTTTGCCATGGTTGGATAGCTTACTTTCATGAAATTGTAGCAGACAAATGAGTCACCCTCCATATTGCTATGCATATATTAGCATTACTGGTATTATAAAACAAGTTCTAAAAATTGCTCATAAAATATAAATTTACTGAAATAAAAGGAAAAACTAATCAACAGATTTAAGAATCTGAATTTGTTTCTGCAGAAGAATGTGCTAGAAAAAAAAAGAAAATAAAAGAATCTGAATCTGAATGCTGGAAAACAATTCTCCATAAGTTTCTCATATTTTGTCATGCCTTGCAAAGAGAGGCACTAACTTTCCTGTCCTGGACTATCTTTTTAAAGATGTTTGAATAGCAAACAGCTTCAGAAACTAGACCTAGTATCTCCCTCTGGAACAAAAGTTAGGCATGTTTGCTTATTTCCCATTGTAAAATATTTGGGTTTCCTAAGCTGGAGGTTCCTAAGGTGTGATGCAAATCTACTCTGTGTGCAACATCCACTTGAGCCCTTTCTTGACGCCGTGGGATATGGGGAGCAAAGGGAACCAATATAGATAGGAAGCTTATACCACTTCCTGCATGATGAGTAACAAAGCCCTTTGTCTCTGACACAGAAATTGTGTCTTCTACCAGCATCCATGAAACTGTGGCAAGCTAACTCATTAGCCTTCAAGTAGAGTAAAATCTGACACATTTCACACTGAATCATTAAATTTAAAAGTGAGAACACATTTAAACTGTTTGAGTTCAGCAGTAACACAAATCCAATGTCTTCAATAACAACACAGTGTTATTTGTTTTTCAGTGTTTGATTTTTCTTTTTCTTTTCATATCAGTGCTGAGTTTCATGAACGGTTAAGTAAAATTGATAAGCTGAAGAACAGATATGAAATTCTTACTGTTGTTATGCTGCCTCCTGAAGGAGAAGAGGAGAAAACACAGGCCTATTATGTAATAAAGGTAATTTTAATTGATTTATAGTTGTGATAGTATGAAGTATCTTTTCTTTGTTAACTCATAGGATTCGTCTGGATTTAAAAGAACCAAAATGGCAACTTTTTCCCCATGAAATTTAGTAACTATTTTACTTAATTAGGGCCATTAACTATTGTACTTAATAAGGGCCAAAACATTAGTGCTAGATAAAGATACTGAAGCATTATTGGTTCTATATCCCTCTAAGCTATGAGGTTAAAGTATTGCCCTCCGGTTCCCAAAACCTATTGCTCATTTGTTCCAAAACCCTTCCTCTCTTGAACTCAGGTTATTCTACGTGACCATATGTTTTCTTTTCTTTTATTGAAGGGAGGGCTCTGAAACACCCTTTTATTTATTTTTTCTTTCAAAATATTATGGGGGTACAAATGTTTTTGGTTACATGTATCAACTTTATTATGCTTGAGTCTGGGTTATAAGTGTTCCCATCACCCAGATAGTGTTCATTGTACCCATTAGGCAGGTATTTGCTCACTATCTCCTCCACCCTGCCCCCTGCATGAATTCTGCTGAGTTTTACTTCCCTCTATACACATTTGTGCTATCGGTTAGTTCTAATTTAATAGTGAGTATATGTGGTATTTGTTTTTCCATTCTCTAGATACTTCACTTAGAATAATGGTCTTCAGTTCCATCCAAATTGTTGCAAAAGAACTTAATTCATCCTTTTTAATGGCTGCATAATATTCCAGAGTATACATATTCCACATTTTGTTAATCCACTCATGAAATGATGGGCACTTGGGTTGATTCCACATCTTTGCAATTGTGAATTGTGCTGCAATAAACATTTGAGTACAAGTGTCTTTTTGATAAAATGACCTCTTTTCCTTTGGATAAATACCCAGTAGTGGGATTGCTGAATCAAATGGTAGGTCTACTTTTAGTTCTTTTAGGAATGTCCATACTGTTTTCCATAGAGGTTGTACTAATTTGAAGTCCCGCCAATAGTGTATAAGTGTTCCTTTCTCTCTGCATCCACACCACCATCTATTTTTTTGGACTTTTTAATAAAAGCCATTCTGACTGGGATAAGATGATATTTCATTGTGGTTTTAATTTTCATTTCCCTGGTGATTAATGATGTTGAGCATTTTTTCATATGTTTATTGGCCACTTGTCTATCTTCTTTTGAAAAGCTTCTGTTTATGTCTTTTGCCCATTTTTTAATGGGTTTGTTTTTTTGTCTTTTGGTTTTTTTTCTGGCTAACTTGTTTGAATTCTTTGTAGATGCTGGTGATTAGCCCGTTAGAAGATGTATAGCTTGTGAATATTTTCTCCCATTCTGTAGGTTGTCTGTTTGCTCTGTTGATTATTTCCTTAGCCCTGCAGAAGCTTTTTACTATTACTATAATCAAGTCCCATTTATTTACTTTTGTTATTGCCATGATTGCCATCGGGGTCTTCTTCACAAATTCTTTGTCCAGGCTATATCTAGAAGAGTTTTCCTAACATTTTCTTCTAGAGTTCTTGTGGTTTCATGCCTTACATTTAAGTCTTGAATTAATTTTTGTGAGGGGTGAGAGATATGGATCCTGCTTTATTCTTCTGCATGTGGCTATCCAATTTTCCCAGCACCATCTACTGAATAGGGTTTCTTTTCCCCAGGGTATATTTTCTGCTTTGTCAAATATCAGTTAGCTGTATGTGAATGGCTTTATATCTGGGTTCTCTGTTTTGATCCATTGGTCTATGTCTCCATATTTGTGCCAATACCCTGCTGTTTTGGTTACTATAGCCTTGTAGTATAGTTTGAAGTTGGGAATGTGATGCCTCTAAATTTGTTCTTTTTGCTTAAGCAAAAGGGGCCCCTTCCTGGTTCCAAAGGAAGCGTAGAATTATTTTTTTCTAGGACTCTGAACTATGCCATTCATATTTTGATGGGGATTGCATTGAATCTGTAAATCACTTTGGGTAGTATGGACATTTTAACAATATAGATTCAACCAATCTATGGGCATGGTATATTTTTCCATTTGTTTGTGTCATCTGTGTAGTACTCTTTGTAGAGATCTTTCATCTCCTTGGTTAAATATATCCCCAGGTATTTTATTTTCTTGGTAGGTATTGTGAATGATATTGAGTCTTTGATTTGACTCTCAGCTTGACTGTTACTGGTGTACAGAAATGCTACTGATTTGTGTACATCAATTTTGTAACCTGAGACTTTGCTCAATTTGTTTATCAATTCTGAGAGTCTCTTGGTAGAGTCTTTGGAGTTTTCTAGGTATAAGACCATATCATCAGCAAAAAATGATAGTTTGACCTCCTCTTTCCTGGTTTGGATACCCTTTATTTATTTTTCTTGTCTAATTGCTATGGCTAAGACTTCTAGCACTATGTTGAATAGAAGTGGTGACATTGGGCACCCTTATCTTATTCCAGTTCTCAGTGGGAATGCTTTCCACTTTTCCCCATTCACTATGATGTTGGCTGTGAATTTGTCATGTATGGCTTTTATAATCTTGAGATATGTTCCTTCTATGCTTAGTTTGTTGAGGGTTTTTATCATGAAAGTGTGCTGAATTTTTTCAAATGCTTTTTTGGTATCTACTGAGATGATCATGTGGTCTTATTTTTGCCTCTGTTTATATGGTGAATCACATTTATTCAACCATCCTTGCATCCCTGGGATGAAGCCCAGTTGGTCATGGTGGATTATTTTTTTGATGTGCTATTGAATTTGGTTTGCTAGTATTTTATTGAGTATTTTTTCATCTATATTCGTAAGGGATATTGGTCTGTGGTTTTCTTTTTTTGTTGTGTCTTTTCTTGGCTTTGGTATCAAGGTGATACTGGCATTGTAGAATGAGTTGGGGAGGATTCTCTCCTTCTCATTGTTATGGAATAATTTCTTCAGCATGGGTTCCAGGTCTTCTTTTGTAGGTCTGATAAAATTTGGTTGTGAATCCATTTGGTCTGAGGATTTTTTTTGTTGGAAGATTTTTTATTACTGCTTCAATCCCATTTCTTTTTACTGGGAGTTCTATTTCTTTCTGCTTGAGTCTTTGGAAGTTGTGTATTTCCAGGAGTTAGTCCATTTCCTCTGTGTTTTCTGTGTGCATAGAGATTTTCACAGTGTACACAAATGATTTTTGTATTTCTATGTTATCAGTTGTAATATTTCCTTTTTCATTTCTGATTGAGTTTATTTGGGTCCTTTCTCTTGGTTAATTAATCTTATTCCTGGTTAATCTAGCAAGAGGTCTATCAATTTTGTTTATCTTTTCAAAGAACCAACACTTCATTTCATTGATCCTTTGTATTATTTTTTCACTTTCTCTTTTGTTTAGTTCTGTTGTGACCGTGGTTATTTCTTTTCTTCTGCTGGCTTTGAGTGTGGTTTGCTCTTCCTTTTCTAGTTCCTTGATATATGTCATTGGATTGTTAATTCGTGATCTTTCTGTCTTATTGATGTAGGCATTTAAGGCTATGAATTTTCCCCTAGGACTGCTTTTGCTGAATCCCATAAATTTTGGTAGCTTGTGTCCCCTTTGTCTTTCAGTTCAAGGAGTCTTTTGATTTACATCTTAATTTCATTATTGAACCAATAATTGTTCAGAAGCATGTTGTTTAATTTCCATGACTTTGTGTAGAATTGAGTGTTTCTCTTGGAGTTAATTTTTCGTTTTATTCTATTGTGGTCTGAGAAGATACATGGTACAATTTCTGACTTTTTTAATTTTTTGAGACATGTTTTATGGCCAGAGATATGATCAATCTTGGAGAGTGTTCCATGTGCTGATGAGAAGAATGTATATTCAGTAGTTTTTGGATAAAATGTTCTGTAAATGTCTGTCAGTCCTATTTGCTCTGGAGTCACATTGAAGTCTGGGGTTTCTTTCTTTATTTTCTGCTTGGATGATCAGTCCACTTCTGTCAGTGGGGTGTTGAGGTTCTCGACAATTATGATGCTACTGTTTATCCCTTTGCTTGGATCTAGTAGTGTTTGCTTTATGAATCTGTGTGCTACTGTGTTAGGTGCATAAATATTTAGGATTGTTATATTTTCTTGTTGAATTTCTCCCTTTATCATTATATAATGCCCATCTTTGTCTCTTTTTACTGTTGTTTATTTAAAGTCAATTTTATCTGATGTGAGATTGGCTACACCTGCTTTCTTTTGGTTTCCATATGCATGGATTATTTTTTTTTTTTCATCTCTTTACTTTGAGTCTCTATGAGTCCTTGGTGGTTAGGTGTGTTTCCTGGAGATAGCAGATCCTTGGGCTTTGTTTTTTCATCCATTCAGCCAGCCTGTGTCTCTTGAACAGGACATTCAGACTGTTTACATTGATTGATAGAATTGATATGGGGGAAGCTATTCTGTTCATCCTGTTCGGTAGTGCCTTGTTGCTTTGTTTAACCTCTTGAGCTATTGTTTTGTATGAGCTTTAGCTTTAGCTTTTGGGTGGTTTTATACTGGTGGGTGTCTATTGTGCTGATCCATGTATAATGCAGTTCTCTGTATTTCCTGCAGGGATGGTCTGGTCTTGACAAATTCCCTCATTGTTTGCTTGTCTAGAAGTCTTTATTTCTTCTTCATATATGAAACTTAGTTTTGCAGGGTACAAAATTCTAGGCTAGCAACTGTTTTGTTTAAGAAGACTGAAGATGGGGCTCCAGTCCTTTCTGGCATGTAAGGTTTTAGTTGAGATGTCTGCAGTTAGGCTGATGGGTTTTCCTTTGTAAGTTACTTGATGTTTTCACCTCACGGCTTGTAGGAGTTCCTCCTTCCTGTTGACTTTGGCCAGTCTGATGACTATGTGTCTTGGTGATTGCCTCTTTGTGATGAAACTCCCAGGTCTTCATTGAGCTTCTTGAACCTGGATATCTAAATCTCTAAGAAGACCAGGGAAGTTTTCCTCAGTTATTCCCTCAGATAGGTTTTCTAGCCCTTGTGCATTTCTTCTTCATGTTCAGGGATGCCTGTGATTCTTGTATTTGGCCATTTTACATAATCC